AACTTTTGCAGCACGTGGGGCACTTTGGTGTACATATAATGAACACCAAAAATATATTTTAATTGAACATATAATTTGGATGACTGAAAAACAGGATAGTGCTAAAATCATACAACACTGAGAGTGTACATTAGTAAAAACATAGGAAAACCTAAAGCAATTTTTCCGGTCCATAACACAGTCCAATGCTTGGGCTTTTATTTTCCCCTTCAAATTCCCATCTCTAAAACACATATGTGGCATATGTGTAGGCATAATGTGTAGGCATTCCATTGTGAAGGGGATATTAAAAAAAGAAATAATATATATATATAAATATATACAGCACAACAGAAATAGACAGAAGTAGTGAATTAGTTTGACTACAGGAAAAGTAGAAGTTTTATGTTTCCTAAAATAGCTCAGTGAAACATAAATAACAAAATGGCACCTCTCTGTATGGATAATCATGTTTAACTCTCCTCGGTGTTTTATGGTGGAGTTTGTGTGACCAACTTTGTTCTGCTGTTTTCCTAAACTTGAACCAGGTGGGAATTTATATAAGTGTGGTGGAGCAAGAACAATCTTTGAGCATCTGGAAAGTCTGGCTCACTGTGGGTGATGCCAGAAAACCACCAAAGTAAATTCATGTTTCATCATCTTATAAACTGAATTACTGTGAAAGGAGAGAGCCAGAGGGTGTTTTATAAGGTCCTGATGACTTAATTTCCCCTAAGTATTAGCTTCAGGAGAGCACTTGCCTTGGTGCTCCTCCTCATTGTGCCATCCCCTGCGATGCCACACGCCGCGCTCCCATCCTGCCATCGCCTCCCTGTCAGGACAGCGCTGGGCACAGCAGGGCCACAGGGTGTGGGTTTGGAAGTCACTGGTTCTCAGGTCCGCCCTGGGGACCAGGCTGGAGAACCTCCCCAGGGCTGTGTGTCTGAGCATCTCCTGAGTTCCACAGTGCCCTGTGACCGCTGCCATCCCTCCCATTGCAGCCATCGGGGCTGGGGACGCGCTGGCTCCAGGGCTCCCTGCCTGCCTTCAGCCCCTGACCTCCTGGCTCTGCTGAACAGTCCTAGGGTCACAGGGATGCTCAAGACCACAGGGCCCAGAACTCAAACCAGCAGGGAAATAAAGCTGCTCCTGTGTTTATTATTTATGGTGTTACTTCATTAGGTTTAACAGCGTTCCTGAGCCACTGGTCAACCTTGGCTCGCAGTCCTGACTTTTCCAATTTAAATCAAGTGCCCCTGCCCACACCCTGTAGGGAAGAGGCATCGCAAGGCAGCGAGCACACGGTCCAGCAGCATGAATTCACCTGCCCTGCCTAAAGAATGACTTGCTTTCCAGCAGGAATTACTCTGGCACTCTTGGCTGCTCCTCGCAGCTGCCCGGCTGCCCCTGGCCCTCGCTGACAGCCTGGCCCAAACCTCCCATGTCCCCGCCAGAGGCACAAAGGGTTAACGAGCTCCTGCTGCCCACAACCATCGCTCCTCCACCATCACGGCCCCTCAGCATCTGTACAAAGGGCCTGATTTAATCCGGGTTGCAGACGACTCACATTGTGCTCGCAGCCTCGGAGTGATGTTGGGTGATCAGGTTTCCAACTAATATCCAAGGCGCAGCCCGAGCACTGAGCGGGAACAAAGGCACCTTTGTTACTGCAGAAAAAAAATCCCCTGAAGATATTAGCAGTGCAGCAGAGTTCAAACTGTTAAATGATTCAAATATTATTTAATGAATACATTTGAAATGAGGTCTCACAACCCAGAACACTTTTTAGATCATCATTTACAAAGAGCTGCCTCTTCGCTTACTTCTTTATAGAGTTGCTGCTTTCAGATTTCAATTATGGCCATTTTGCTCCCAGCCTTTTTTAGGGACTTCCCATGTTGGTGTAGCTCAGTTCTTTTTACAGTATAGTTTAGCCAGTGACTACTGGGTTTTTCAGAAGTCCTGATAATCACATTTCTTTAATTTACCTTGGACTGTGTGAGAAACAAGGGAGACAGAGCCTTTTGCAAAAGGAGCAACAGCATTAGGTGTTGTTCTAGAGGGTGCTAAAGCCAATCTTATAAACAGAAATATGGTAAATAAGCATATCATTATTTTAGCTGGGATTGGAGAAGCTCTATAGTTCAGGTTCAACAAATACCTCAAATTTCTTGTGTCTTGGATATGAAATTCTAAACCAGAAAGCCATGTAATTTTAGAAAGAAAAATTAAAGAATAAAGGTAAGTGGGGTTCAGGAAAGAAACATGTCTCCAACCTGAGGAATAAAGTTTTAAAATTAAATCAGGGCTTCCTATGCTTATAGCAATAAGAAATCCAAGGCTGCTCTGAAGCATGGACAGCAGATATTGTCCCCAGAGGGTAACAGCAACACACCTGGGGCTGTGCTGGTGCCTGCTGAGGTTTTTAAAAAATACAGCATAAATAGCAAAAGTGGGGAAAGAGCACCAGAACAGAGGGACTACAAGAACCAGCATACCAGCAAAAAAAGACACAGGGCAGTGGCAGAAACACCTCCAGACTGTCTTCAGTCCCTGCAAAGAAATCCCCTTCCCTCACACCAGGCACCCTCCTGGCTCTACTGCCACGGCTGGGACCTCAAAGAGCCTCTGCTGAGGAGACAGAGACAGCAGCACAGGATCTCACCTAACTCACATGAAGGCTCCTCATGCAGGTGAAGCCTCAGGTGGAAGCAATTGAAAATCTGCCTCCAAAACCTGGGCTTGACACATTATCATTATGATCTTTAAAACTACTGTGCATGCCAGAACTCTGTTTGTGGTAGGGTTTGCACACTGAACTCTGCCCACAGCAGGCATCAAGGAGAAAAGGAGGCTCCCAGGAATAAAATGTCTGCAGCCATCACTCTAATCTCTGCTTCCCGACAATTATATGCTGTTGATTAAAATTAATTTTTCATATAAATTCAAGCAAGTAGAAAGTCTTTCATTAAAAGTTGCAAAACTTCAAAGAAAATCTTTTCCCCATGACTTTATCAAGACAGAATTCAATGAAGACTCTTGAATTGTATGAACTGAATATAAACCACAGTAACAGCCCCGTGCTTCTGATTTTGCCATAAAACCATGGCACAGCATTTCAAGGATATGATGTAGCTCCTAAACATGGCTGCATCAACTGAGGCTTGGAAATGCAGAGTAAATTGTCTTACAGGACATTTTCAGATTGCTCAGAGAGTATTTAGAAATGCCTGAGGTTGGAAAATCCCAAAAGATCCAAAATCTCAGCAGAATTTTTTCCTGACATTTCTCAGTCTACATGTAAAGGTAAAAGACAGAAATCATTCTCCTTTCTCTTCAGTGATTAAAAATCCTCTAGAAAAAAAAAGCAAATTCCTTACAAGTCTCCTTTAGATCACACTTGTGTACAGCCAAGTGATGGATTTCAAAGGTTACTGCTAGAATATGGTTCCCAGCAGTCTATTGCAGTGAATAACTATCACGTTTACATATCCATTACATCAAAACTACGTTACACTTCCACTGCTTCCTGTTGGTTCACCATCTGGAAGCTAAACAAGCTGGTAGTAAAGACACAATTCAATTCTGCATTTACCAAAGGAGCTGTACAAGCTTTCATTTGCAGCAGGTGATTGCACAACCTGAGCAGGCAGAACCCTGCCAGCCCCAGGAATGGGACCCCGGGGAGGGACACCCAGGAGCCCCTCAGCACCTCTGGGGCCCCGTGGGAGGCACTTCCCACCTGCAGCCCCTCCTCATGCCCAGTCCCACCTCTGCCAGCCCAGCAGTGCCAAGGTTCCAGGTGCTGCTCAGCCTGAAATCCCAAACCAAACCCAGCCCCGGGTGACAGCAGCCTTTGGGAGCCCAAAGACCAGCTCAGGAGCAAAATGTGAGTGCCTGAGATAAGAGACACAGCTTTTTATGATCAAATTTATTTAATTAAATTTCATTGCCTGCTTTACTTGTCAGTTGCACCAGAGAACTGCCAAAGGAAACAAAACATTGTACATTCACTACAAGATTCTCTCAAATTTTCACAACTAGTCCAAATCCATGGAAGTCACAGGGCCCCTTTCCCTCTGCATTGCAACACATTAAAAATGGCAGGACACAAACTCCAGCACTGAGACCTGAGCCCTTGGGTTCCAGGGGTACTAAATGACCTCTGTGTGTGTGCGTGCTACATCTCTGCATTTACCAACCCAACCTCCTGGTGGTACAGGACACATAAGCACTGAACTAACCCAGAAAGGAAACCAACCCCATGGCAGGGGGGCTGCAGGGTGGGTGGTGCAGCACACGGCTGAGGCACCAGCACCAGGCTGGGGTGGCAGTGCCAGCGTGCTCAGCACCAGGACAAGGGGCACAGCACACCTGGCCCCTCCTGCCAGTGCAGGAATGTTTTGCCACTGATGGGAACAGAAATCAGATCCCTCCTGGGAAGGCAGGCAAGGCTTGCCCTGCCAAGGGTGCTGGGAAGAAACCAGGCATTCATAGATCTTTATCTAACTAGTGCTTTTAAAAATACTTTTTCTTTGATCTAACAAGCATTAGGTTAATGTCCCCCTGTTATGTGCTCTGAATAGTTCCTCAAACATGCTGAAGACCTTTTCCCTATGGAGTTTCCTACAGGAGGCATCTGTTATCCCAGGGGCTCTCACACATCAGCCCCTCACAGACAGACAGCAGGGGAATGTGTCAGGGGCTACAACTGAAACTGTCACCAAATCTGAAATTCTGCATCTCCCAAAGTGTATTTCCAACATGAAAACAGCTAAAATCACAATTATATTCCATTGCTGTGTGTGAAATCCAGAATGCTTGCATGGCTTCCAAAGGGAAGCTCTGGAAAACAGCCACTGCACTGGCAGGAGTATTCCTGGAGGGAAGGGCTGACCCTGTCCTCACTGCCCAGCCTAAGATACACTGGAAAATGCTCTACAGATACTGTCAGTGTACTTGTCTAAAAAGCAGGTTCTGAAAAATTTTAAGTTGCAAATTACTTTATAAATCACAAGCCATTTTTCCTTAGTCTTGCCAATTTTAATGAAGAAAACTGTTAGCATTTCAATGTACAAAAGTACAATAAAACATGATTTTTTTTCTTTTAAATCAGTGAGTGGGTAAAGTTTGGGTTAAACTTATTCAACAGTAAAAGTCTCCCAATTTCCACTAATAGAAATTTTTTTCTGATTTGACTAGAGGATAATGACAATCCAGAAATAAATAGCTATAAATACATTCATTGTTCCTATTCCAAAAACTCATCACATAGGGAAGACATAAAACTGAAATTAACTTGTTTGAGTGTTCCTTTACAATGAGAGATGGGCAAGTTAGAGCAGAGTGACTTGGACAGGAGAGAAAACAAGTAGGGCAGAAATTGGTCCAGTATTGACATTCATGAACATACCAGTTAGCAAAATTCATCCTTTAAATGACACTACTCAGTTGATTTTTTTATTTGCTTGGGGGTATACATAATGAAAGCAGTTTCCTTGGAATCTTTGCTAGGACAGGTATAGCACCCAGAGACACTGTAACCACCCCTTCTGTCTGCATGTGTGTGTGTAGTTATATACAGAGTCATGCACCCACACACACGGCCAAGGTCCGGCGCCGCGTCCGCCCGGGTCACTCGTCATTGGCAGCACTCGTTCCTCTCACTTGGCCTTGGTTACGCAGCTGTGGAGAGAGCAAGGGCAATTCCTGCATTAGCAGCTTCTTCACACACAGCTCCAAACACGCAGGGAGATTATCTCCAGGGAAAAGCAGGACAGGGCCTCAGTCACACCAAAGCAATGCCGGCTCCTGAGGGAATCTCAGCGGGAGCTGTCCTTGGCTAGGACCTGCCCCCAGGGCTGGGAGCAGCTCCCTTCTCTGGGGAGCCCACACAGATCAGTGGGATGTGCTCCCTTGGGCTGGGATGTTACAACAGTCCCTGTGAGGAACAGCAGCACCAAAGGGCTGGGCACAAGCACCAAGAGCCTCTAACTCCTGGAGAAGCTGCTCCTGCAGTAACAGCTCTGACACGGTTTAGTGCTCTGGGTGGAACTGGATTTCTAAGAACTGAACCTGCTTGGAAGGTGACGCTCCACAGCTTCCCTAAGTGACGTGGACCAAGTCCAGAGATCACTTTGCCCCTGCGTGTGCAGCAAAGCGATGCTGCCCTGTGTGACTGGTGCCCAGAAGGGGCGGGCACCAGGGCTCAGCGCCACGGCCACCACAGCAGCACAGCCCACACCTCGGGTGCTTGCAGTGGGACAGCATCAGGCACCAGGGCAGGTGGCCAAGGCTGCAGGAATTCTGCTCCCAGCCTTAGTGCCTGCATCAGTGCCCACCTGCAGTGTCCTGGGCACCGTGGGTCAGCCCCACCTGCTGACCACCACACCACTACAGGAGGCAGGTAAGGCCCACACGGGTTATGTGGACATTAAGATGATTTCTGCTAGCAATTCCCATCCAAAAGAACAACAATCCCTCTTCTCCTTTTGCATCCAGCAGTTGACTTACACAGCTTGCTTTGCCTCAGAACCTACAGAGAACTCCTCTAGACGTCCGCAGCCAAAGTGCCTCGAACGGAACCCTTCTTACGCATCTGAAGTGAAATAAAACGTGAGCTCCACACACAGAACCTGCGCGCCGTGGTTAGTACGAGACAAGCAACGACCTGCAGGGCCAGCATCTGCCTCTCCCTGGCCAGGGCCAGGACCAGCTACAGCTCAGGGGGTTTGGCCATGGTATGGGGTTTCTTTTTGGCAAGGAGACCTGGGAACTGGAGAGCAGCTGTAAACAATGCTGCTTGAATTTTCACCGAGCTCATGATGCTCCAGCTTGGAATCACTGCTCAGGGTACTCAGTGTGGCATCCCTACCCTCACACAGGCATGACAGAGGGTGGTCACAGGGCTCTGGCTGGACCTGATGCTTTCCTACCCTGCACTGATGAGCTGAGGCATGTTTCATGGAGCAGAGGTGCTTCTCATCTCCAGCAGCCAGAGACAGAATCCACCAAGTGAAACATAAACAGTGATAAAAAGATGGACTGGGATAGAGGAACTCTGGAAGAACACTGATGAGGATTCAGAGAGTAACAGAAAGTAACAAAAGCAGAGATCCTGACTATAAAAATCGACTGAAGATGAAGCACAGGAGCAACAAAAGAACTGGAATGTGCACAGAACCCAGAGAGAGATCAGCTCGGAGCAGAAGGAAGAAAGGGTGTTCATGAGGAGGGGAAGATACCAGGACACTGTGTGGGAAAGAACATGCACTGCCAGCCCTGCTTTGTGCCAGCTTTGGCTCTCAGCATCACAGAACTGCCTAGGGCTGCCCTGGCCATCCCTGGCCACTGCAGGGACATATCTGTGTCACACTGAGCACCTCACCCCTGAGCACTCACTTCCCAGAGGTCCTGGCCAGAAAACACTTTGAGGTGTACTGGGGATGTAATGGCAGTTACTGGTGAGCACAATGGGTGGAGCAGTTGAATATGAAACAAGACAACAAATTATTTTGGATAAAACTAGCATTGATATTATTTGGCAGTGACATTTTTGCCCTTAGGTTGCCTAATAATGCACTGCACCACAAACCCATGAAAATTACAAAATTTATAGGTGTTTGTAGATACCCCTCTTGCAATAACTGGAAAAACCCCAAGACAGTAGGTCCTCACTCCTCTCACATTTCACAATATCCACAGAAATCTGGGTTAGTGTAACATCATACATTTATCTTGTGAAAAAGAACAAACCAAAACAACTCAACTTTTTCAACAATACACAAACTCCAAATTCCTGACACTAATATCTTACACAGCAATTTGCAAAAAACAATTTGCCTTTGCAAAAAGAGAAAATATTTTGGAAAAAATATTTAAAAGTAGCTACTTACCAGTGAGAAATGTGAAACAAAACATCCACAGTCACAGAGACACAAAGGAACAATTTCACCATGCACAGAGGTGTGTCAGGTTCTGCTGCCTCTCTCCAGCACACCCCTGGTGTGCACTCCTCACTGCCACTACCCTTGCTCAGGGAAACTGGATAAAGTCTGTTTCAGTCCAAATTAAGAACTATGGGTGTGCAGAAGGGAACCCTTCTGGCAAAAATCAGTTTGGAGAGGACAGCTGTTACGCTTCCTCATCCACAGACACCTGGGAACAGGTGGTCTAGGAACAGGATCAGGCATAAATCAGGAGTTCAAGAAGAAATCCCCTTGATTTGAGAAAACAACTGCCAAAAATACCCAAATGCCCATGAGAGAGCACAAGATCTACAAGAGTGAGTGAACACCAACCTTGTCCACAGCACATTCTGGGGCTGCTGACTCAAACCCTCCAGCTCATGGGCAAAGAGCATTTGGTGCTACAGCTCAGCACAGGACTCTGAAGAAACACTTTTCCAAACACAGGAAACATCCCTACACAACACAGGCTGTTCCACACTGCTTGGAAAGCCCCTGGAGAGCACGAGTGGGGAGGGAGGAGCTGCAGCTGCTTTGGTACCAAGAGCAAAGACCAGGCACAGACCACAGAATGTGCCCCAGGGCCCCTGTCCACAGCTCAGGGAACCAGGTTAGAGGTGTCTGCCACGGCTCAAACCAGGCAAACAGCAAGCTGCAGCTGAAGACATGTTGTGTCTTGGAAGAACCAAGGCACTGGAACTGTCTGGGTAACCTGATTGGGTTTGAGGCATGAAGGAATTGTCAAAATGGGAAGGAAATACAACTGTAAATCCAAGAACAGCAAAAATGCCAGTGGGATTTAACATGGAAAAGGTCATATTCTGGAAAGACAGAAGAAGGCTTCCTTCCCAGCCTGTGGTGATCCTCTACCTCAGCATGGAGAGAGCAGAGACAGTGCCCTAAGTCTGAGCTTTCTCCCAGACATCAGCCCACAACACGTCAGGCCACATGGATTGGTCCTCACGGCCACTAAAGCAGGAAAACTGACATGATCTCAGCTGATTTTACTGACTTTCTGTTTGTAAGTAAAACTTTGGTTTGGTGTGCTAATCAGAAGTGGAACAGCTGAGAGGTGACACAAACTTACTTGAAATCATGCTTGAAGAGAAAAAGTGATCAGATCTAGTGATGACCAGAAATGAAACAAAGCAAGACACGAGATGGAATGGGACAGTGACAGATTTGGGATTCCATCCAAGTGGCAAAAGGGCCCTGAGTGGGACTTTTGCAGTGGGTGTGGTGCCATAAATACAGGTAGTCAGTGCAGATATCCTGCATTTAATGACATCAGAGGCACTTACCTCAAATCAGCACAGAATGCAGGAGCCCATGGGGCTGCACTCAAGGGGCCACAGTGCTCTCAGCAATTGCCCAAACACACACACAGGCATGGACACCACACAACTTGCCTCAGTTTCTGCACAGATAAATCTGCAGCTTAAATCACACAGCCTTAAAAAAAAAAGCTTTCTTACCGCTTCCAGCTCCTTCTGGGTTTCATCCTCCATCCTCCTGATGTCCTCCATAGTCAGCTCAATCCACTTGTCAATCCAACAGAACAGCTGGCGGTGGAAGTTGGTAAATATCCTTTTTTCTTGCTTTAAGAAGACAAACAAGCATTAGATCACACCTAGGACTATCTAAAGGCTGGTGAAGTGATAGCAGCTGCTCAGTTTGAAGAGTTAAAATCTTCAAGTGAGTGCTGCTTCACACTGCTACAGATTCACCTCACACCCCTGGATCCAATTTAAATTCACCTCATCTCTCAAATGCTTTAAAATGGAAAGAATGAACAAATTTCACTATCAAAAAAGAGTTTCAAGAAAGCTCAGCCATCCACATTACTTCAGAATTATGAAGAATGTTGTTAAAATCTGTTCCAGCTCCAAGGTGGCAGCAGCCAAACCAGAACAGCCACTTCCTGAAGACTTTGCTTTCTTTCCCTAGAGAATTGTTCTGGTAATTCCAGTGAAGCCCCACTTGCAGCAAACCAAGACACAAATGGTTTAACTGGCTGGGGAAAAGGACAGGAATTCCCTGGCTGTGAGCAATAGGAAACTGCACCAGTGTTCCTGCTCAAACCCCCACATCAACACAGCCCCAAAAGGCAGAAGCACTCACCTTTTGTATAAAATTTTCCACTTTGTTCTGCAGTCCCCACCACTTAAATTTGATGGTCACCAATTTGTAAGCACACATTTTGGGACACTCCTCATCAGTTGCTAACTCCTTCTGTTAGGGGATAATAGAAAAGAAGTTTTAATACTTTAGAAGTTTAATTATAACTCTAATTAGTGCATTAGAATGATAAATAGTATATTTTATAGTAAATTAATTAAATTTAACTATGTTGTTATGATAATAAAATATGACTCTAAGCATTATTACAGAAAAACAACATTCTAATCAGTAACTTGGGGCTGTTCCTGACAGACTCCCTGTGATTCACTCCAGGGCTCAGCAGTGGCTCCTCAATTCCTGTGGGGATCTCTGGTGTGGCACACACAGCCCATTCCCTCCTGGGATAGATTGTGATGGCTGGCAGGGGGTGCTGGCAAGCTCTGTGCTGCTTTTGGGGTGTCACAAAAGCAGGACATAACTTGGTTCTGTGGTGTGTTGGGCCACAGAAAATTTGTTCCTCAACTGGAGCTAAGCCCAGTTCTGAAGGAACCATGAACTTTGTTCTTCTGCTGATCAATTCCCAAGGCTGTAACAACAGTTCCTAGTACCTTCCAGTTTGGCCCCAGAGGTCCTCTCTTTGTCTTAACTGACTGGAATAATGCAGGATCTTCATCAGCTTTGTAGTCCTGTAACATAAAACACTCTGAGAGTCAGAAAACACCACCAGATTGAATATCCCACTGTGTTAAGGGTCTGCTGGAGCAGGATGGTGCAGCACAGCTGCCAGGCTGGCTCCAGCACACCTGCTCCCAACACAAAGCTCTCCAGGGCTGCCCTGTGCTGTGCACACTGTGACATCTGCACTGCCCCACTGGGTCTGTGACCCCTGAGAGGAGGAGAAGCAATAATTCAGCAACCAGCATGCTAAAGCCATTCAGGCTGCAACACATGGCCTCTGCTGGGGAGGCAGAACAGGAGGGAATCCTGTTCAAGACTGCCTTTTAAAAATTTCACACAACCACTGGATAGAAGACATTGAAGTGAATCAAGATACAGCAATGGATAAACAATTTTGCTCTATGTAACTAATTGCTGGCAGAACTGCTGCTGGTTTGGGGCAGCAACATGCCAAACAGAAACCCAAGAATTCCACCTCTTGGTGCCAGTTTTATAAATAAAACCAGGTACTGCACTGAGACAAGCCTGAATTTATTTTCACTGTGTGAACATCCTGCCAAAGCACAGCTCACTGTAGTGGTGTGAGGCATGAGGCATTTAAACTGAGCTACATGTGCAGCCTTGATCTGCCTGCTTTATGGGGTGGAATGATTGGTCTGGATACCCCAGGGACACTGAAGCCCACACAATGCTGTTCCTGCCATCCCACCTCCCACTGCACAGGGACACTGGCAAAAAGAAACTGTGCTCTTGCATTTAGGACCCACATAAAAATAACCACAGCTGGAAACACTGGGGAAGGAAATGTTATCTCTGAGAAAAAGGTAGGAGTGAAAACAGAAATCCCAAGGAAATAGATGAGTCACAGTAGAGTTTTCTGTGCTAGAGACAGAAGCTTTGAACCAAGACCTTTTATTACTCAGTTAACCCAAATCCTATTAAGGACAGGAAAAACCCTTTATAGACTAAAGCCTAGATGGACAGGAGAGCATTGTAGGAACTCTTCTCTACACAGAAATCCTACAAGCATGCAGGGAAGAAGACTGGACTAGAGCCAAAGTACAAATAAACAACAGTTCTTTGCAGAGTTTAAGGAAAATATCTGTGCAGCAAAAGCTTAACTCCTGACAACAAGTCCTTCTTAGGAAGAAAAACAGGCAGCTGCTGGAGCAAATATTACAGCTCAAACCCCTGAAGCTCTCTGGAAAGTTAGACAGGCAAACATCAGCCTGCAGCAGCATAACAGGACAGAGGAGCAAAACCATTCCAAAGAAATACACAAATACCATTTCACAGGCAGTTTCTGCTCAAATTCTCAGTATAATATTCATGAATGCAACCATGTATTATAAAAATGATTTAGAGAGACTGTGAACCACATGCAATAAAGTAATATCACAACAAACCCAGAACCTGGGCACTTCTTAACAATTCTCATTCTCAGTCTTTAGACCTGCTCAGAGTGGTAACAGTGCTCCTGAGAACTCATGGTTCACTATCAAATGGTATAAAAATTCAAACAGGACAGAATGATTTTAAGAAAACTTTTAGAACCTAACATGAAAATTACCTAAGTTTGATGCCTGATCTGCAAACCCAGGAAAATGGAGCTGACCATAGAATGACATCACACTAACTAGGGAGGTGGATACAAATTCTGGCTTTCCAGCTCAATATGGTATCAGTGTTTTAAACAGGAGAATGTACATACAAGCAACAAACTCACATACAGATCCTGAGGAAGGTACCACCTACCAGAGCTCTCCTCCAACATCATCCACACTCTGTGAGTGCTCATTCACAGCACACAAGAAGACCAAATTCAGGTTTATCCAAGTATGCCATACTCCCAGCTCAGTGCATGATTCCCATAACTGAAACAGTCACCAGCACCACTGTACACTGCCCTGACAGGCACTGGTGTCCTTTAGGTAAATGGTTTTTAATAAAAAATGCCTTGTAATCACTCCCATCTCCTGAAGAGTCCTGCAGCTCCAGCTCAGCTATCAGGGGAACCATTGCCTGAGATCACCTTTGAAAGAATGCCAAGGTTCAAATGGGGAATGAAAGCAGCCTGGGTATCACGGACACACATCGTGGTGCCATGCCCAGAGCCAGAAGTTAAAGGTCACTAGGAACAAGGCTGGAAGAGATATTTATAAACAGGATGAAAAGAGGGGCATAAAACTAAAAGCACATCATATTAGTACACAGATAGGCTGTCCCATGGGATGTGTCATTGCATGATGAATCCAAAGTTCAGCACTAATAATGTGGAGCTGTTTAGCTGCCTATTGTGATAAACTAAGTCTGAAATGGGAGAGATCCACCTATCAAGCTCTGTAACTTGAGAATCTTTGAACACTTTCTTCAGACCACAAAAGAGCAATTCCTGTTCTAATTCTAAATTCTAATACATTTCCTCAAACTGAAGAGAAATGGACAGCACACAGAAATCCAAACTCCAAAATCCAAATCCATGTGTAATCTGATTCATACAAAACTGTAATTTTAGAATTTTCTTTCAAGTAATATAGATCCACTATGACCTAAACAAGACATTTCATGTCTTCATTGTACAAAAATAGCTATAAACCTGATTTCAATTTGTTTTCACTACCCTCTACTTTTCTACAAATTATTTCCAAAACCTCTGCTTCCTCTGATGTTCATCAAGTGCTCATTTTTGCTTACACTTTAAAAACTCTCTCTCTCCTGGGAAGTCACTTTTATATACAAACAACATCAAGTGACACAGACTGCATGCTGGAGATGATTAAGAGAAGGCAGGGTTAAATGTGTATCTAAAGAAAGTCACAACTGTCACCCAAATTATTTCTATACATACTTAAATGAGCACGAGTCAGCATGCCAATCTTGGCAATTTTGTTATGATGTAGCTAAACTTCCAAGAAAAAAAAATAAAATTCAAGTTCCATTACCTAAAGTTGATTAAAGTATCAGCACAAATAGAAAGTGTCTCTCCTGAAGTGATAAGAAGTAAAGAGAGAGAAGACAAAGGCCAAAAACTTCAGACTTTTATAACAGAAGAGACTCCAAGTGTGGGTCCCAGAGGATCCCTGATCTCTCTCATCCCAGAAGGGGAAAACAAGCAAACAGCAAGGATGTCAGCCTGCAGGTAACTCAGAGCTACCGGTGTCTGCTAAGAGTTTAATCACAAAGCCAGGCTTTGGTTAATGAAGTCAGGACTTAGCAAAACAGAGTTTCTGGGAGATGCAATGGAAATAAAAAAATTTCATCACATGGTGAAAATTAATCCCCAGTATTCCTACACAAAAATGGGCTAAACTGTGAGCTTGGATCTACAAATATCCTCTAAAATATTTGCTAAAAGTGGAAATGGTGCTAGAAGTTTATAAAAAGGAAACAGAAATGTAACAATGTAGAAATGTACACCAGAAGAGACTTAGGACTCTGGATGAGACCACTCTGCACTCAGTTTTGATACTCTGTAAGTCAAATACACAAAAGAAAAAAGAGGATTATGTACTGAAAATAGTTCCAAGGACTTCCTGCAAAGAAATCCTCTCCCCAGAATGTAGGATATCCAAGTATCTACTTTCAGAAAATAACAGTTAAACATTATAAAGAGCCTCTCCTTGCACAAAACCAAGACAATCACATTTATTGTGCAAACACAGTCTCCATATTAGTGCCTACCACTTCCCTACTGTCCAAAGAATATTACATATCCAACAGTCCAGCTGTTGGACTGTTACAATTTAACAAACCAGGCAAGAGCCCCAGCAGATCCAGATGTGCAGAAAGAATCAGCAATAAAACCAAAGAAGAAAGGCAGGCACATAAATGAATGGTTGTGTTAAAGACACTTCCCATGTCTCTGTTGGGTGAAATCCACACCATTTTGGCTTATTCACTAAAAACACAAAGCACAAGTGGAATCAGCTGCATGCTACATCCCAACCCCAAGAGCAGAACATTTACTTACTCCTGGTTCTACTTGAGTTCTATCTGCAATGTCAATATGGACAACCTCAACACTCTTCCATGTGTTTGGATAGCTTAAATCACACAGCCTTAAAAAGAAAAAAAAAAGAAAAAAAAAGAAAAAGAAAAAAAAAAAAAAAAAAAAAAAAAAAAGAAGAAGGAATCATTCCCATGCTGGGAATCACACAGTGATCACTTTGAGCAGTACATGTGTGTGCCAGGGAGTTTTTCAGGATGCTGTAAAGGCAGCATTCTCCAAACCTACCCCTTCTTCCTCTGCCTTTCTCCAAGGGAATGATCTCCACAATTACAGTTTAATTCACTCACTAATCAATTTTAAAACAGCACAAAGCCTTCACTTCTTGTGCATTCAGGAAACCTGGATTTAAGATTAAGCTCTATTCATCTGTCACATTTGTTAGCACTAATGAAATCAAGCTCTAATTAGAACCATTACCCATTCCAGAATCTGCATGAACTTTTCAAGCGAGAAGGAAGGTGTAAAAATTCCAAGTGCAAATATGCAGATTTCAATAACCTGATCTCACAGGTTCCCTGAATCACAGGACTGCCTTGAAGGTGGCCCAGGTGTAGTCTGAGGGTGTGTAAAGGTCAGAGGATGGAATCAGCTCCACACCTGAGGTCTGTCCAGCACACCTAAACTCAGTTACAGCCAGGGGAGCTGTCCAAGAACAATCCCCCTCCTGTGCAGCACATCCAGAGTCACAGCTCACCCAAGCACTGGAAACAGACTGACAACTACTCCTCTCTGCATGGTTTATAAATGTTTGTCACTACAGATCAAAATTTTCCTCAAATTGACAGTCTGGGGAGAAAACAGGAATGTCACCAGCTGGGACAAGTCACAGAGGCAGCTCCAATATTTAACTACAGCGTTCACAGATAACTCCAGTGCTCTTGTGAAACCTGTTTTCAAATAAACTCATCAGCCTAACTTGTCAGCATGTCTATGGTAAAAGAACATGAAATTAACAGAAGGACCTCCTGAAAAGCTATTTAAGTATTTGCATGAGAATCAAGCATGTGTATTGACTTCTAAACATAAAAACCAAACCACATCTCCTGATCTCCTTAGATGAGAAAGCTTGACCACCTTGCAAGGACCTGAAAAATGCTTTTCTTGCTTTACTCACTGGTCAGGCATTGACTTTAAGCAGTAATTACCCACCATCACCAGGTATAAAATACTTTATCTGTACTAATTGTACAACTGCGCTAAGGCTTGGTATCCAAACCCCAACTCACGTTCTCTGTTGTTCCCAAATCTGGTTTATGCCAGGTCTCAATTTTTATGAAGAAGTCATCTTTCATGTATTCATTCTGTAAGAATTACAAGCAAAAAGCACAAGTTTGATTACATCTCTCTGCTCTAAGTTTAGATAAATGGTATCTACATACAAGCCATTACTAATCCCTTACTAATACAATATATTGAATATATTGAAATATATTGAAATTACACAATATATTGAAATTACCAGAGAAACAGCCCCTTACCTACACACAGAAACAGGTATATGATAATCTTAAACTAGAGCAGTGATACTAAATTAAAACCAGTCATCTCCAAGAAATCCAGCTCTACCTGTGCACACCAGTAGAAACAACCCTGCCATTTGCTGTCCTCAACCCTGAAGTTCTTTACCTAATGTTCAAGGAATTTTCAGACTATCAATTCTGCAGGTAGATGTTACTGTGCAGCACAATTACAATCATAAAGCTGGATCATAATGGTCCAGCTGCCACCAAATTGTGCATCCAAAGACAATGACAGAGCCCTGCTCATTCCAGGAGTCAGAGGGCACACACCTGTGTGCACAGGTACCACAGTGAGTCAAGCTCAACAGCTCAAACTCACTTGTGTCACATCCACATGGTAACAATCTAAACCATGTCTGCAAGTGAGCAGATAAAGCAGTTTAACATTTAACTAATAAGTTGTCATTAAGCAGGTTGCCAAAACACATAAAAAATCTTAATGATGTGTCTCCCATGCAACTTAAAAAACCAAATCCAAATCCTGAGCTGTGCTGATCCACTTAGGTTCCCAGTTACCCCATTTTAACTGGGACAGGAATTCATTTCACAGCAATGGCATTTCAGACAGGCAGGGACTGATTCCATTTCCCTGTTCCTCCTGCACTCAGGAGTGCAGAAGCCTCTGATATGTCACTTTTCCCCTCCCACTTTTCTTAGCATTATGTCTTACAGGACAGACATTATGCATCATAATTAATGGCATAAAAGAAGACACAGAAAATGAAATAATTTCTCTGACAAATGACAGTTCTAATTATAGCCACGTGCAGACAAATAAAGTAAAGGGAGTCACTTTGTTATACTCTACACCAGGAGTCCTAGCAGGCACATCTGACAGGCTGGAGCCAGACAATTGTAATGGGTAGTAACAGATAAAACATATCTTAAAAAAACCCCAATATATGATTGGTAGGATTTCAAATACTCACTGTCACAACTGGTGTCGTTGGAAAACACGTGCAATGAAAAGGAAAAGAAAACACAGAGCATTGTTAGACACAATTGTTTCTGAAGGGTCTCGCATATAAAAACACCAACAAGAAGAACACCCATGGGGACACTCACTTGTTCTACAGTAGGGATATGCATTCCAGGCCTTCTCGTGGAACACCAGGGAGCCTTCTGGAGCAATCATCCTTACAAACCCAGGGACTTTACTGGGAAAACAAACAGGGACAATGGGTTAAAAATCCTGCCAGCTGATATTCTCACAAACAGGGACAATGGGTTAAAAATCCTGAAACTCTTTGGTTCCTCCCACTCCAGTAAAAAAGGCACATTCTACCCAAACATCTGAGGGGTTGTGATGCACGTTGTCACCTGCAGTGAAACACACAGCAACTTCAAAAACCTTCCTGATCACGACATGGTTGAGAAAAAATGGGAAAGGTAATGATAAGGTAACAGAGTGAGCTGTGTGATCATGAGGAATGCTGTGCTTTCCCTCCTCTTGCAGAGCAGCAAAGACACCCTCTGAGGAAGAGCACTGCAGAGCCCTCACCTCCAGCTCCCTGGCAGGCAGCTCCTGACCTGCAGCAGGAACTTTATGTCCCACTCATCTCTGACTCCTGTCCAGAGCACGCAAACACAATTCCTTCAGCTGTCCCAGACAAGTATCCCACATATTTAAAATCCACTGTATTTCACATTTCCCCACTCACCAGAGCACTCATACAGAATTCAGCAAATTAAACCTCACCTTTCACCATTTCTTGCTCAATACCAAGGGACTACAATGTGCATCAAGGTTTTTCTCACCTCTTTAAGTGATAGATTTTGTGAGTATATTGTCCCTTCTCGCCATCCTGTTCATAAGGCTCATTTTTTAAGACCTGAATTCCTTCCCCACCTCCTGTTTCGTTTTTGCTAGCTTCTGCCACAGAATAAAGCTGCCCAACTTGATACTGCAAAGGGAAGAGAAGTCAAATGTTAGCAGCAAAGTTGGCCAAAACCTTTTAACATATTAAAAACAATTAGCAGTTTCCTGCTTACTGACAATTCAGTAGTGCAAAAAAGACTGTCAGCAAAGTAAAACACACCACAGAAAAGATATTTAGTGAATTCTGACAACTTTTTGGCAACACATCTCTGCAGCTCACAAACACCAAGTTCCACAGCAACCCAACAGCTGGGTGCACACCATAACTTCATTTTCCTATCCCAAGAGCTAAGTGTGTATTTGCTGTCCTTCACTGCACCAAGAAATATCAGTTTTGAGTTTACAGATTTTGGAGTGACCGATTTCCAGTTCACACTTTCAACCAACTCAATGCTGCCCTTACAGGACCCAGGAATGCACACTGCAGAACAAGTGTGATGTTTCCCTCAGAAGCACACTCAACACGCTGTCATGACAGACATCCCATCATGACTCTCATTTAACTGCACTTCAGTGCCATTTGAATGGCTAGCTTCAGGTCTGGGAAGACAATTCCTTCCCCTGTGGCTTCAGGAAAAGGCTTGGAGTCCCTCAGTGCTGGGTCAGCAGCAAAGTGCTGCCACAGGGCACAACTGAGCTGCTGGCAGTGGAAGGCTCAGAACACCTCAAGGTGCTGCGTTTGCTTCCTTGGAAATTCCTTGCTCAGGACAGGGACCACACCTGTGTCACTCATCTGTCAGTGCAGCCACAGCACAGGGAATGTGGGACTCAGGCTGGTCACATTTCTGCACAAAACCCCCTCCCAGCCCTCAGTCTGAACACAGCAGGGAGGAGGATCAGGACATACCTCTTGCACGGAGCAAGGTAAAACCACTCGGCTGAAAGAGGAAAAGAGAAAACTCAGTAAAATTAACCACTGGGCTTCACCTGCAGATAAGAGACATAGCACAGATGCTGAAGGAGGAAGTGTCAAAAGGAGCCAATTCAAGTTTTCTCTTCAGAAACCTCTGTGACAGGGAGGCTTTGGATATAACCCAACACACCCAAGTAAAGTTCAACACCAGCTATGTTACAACAGGAAAGACAAGAGATGGAAGATATCAGAAGCTAGAAAACCCAGGATCTACTTCCAGCTCTGTCATAACACCTTCGTGTTATGCTAAATCTGTTTATAAACTTTTCAACCTACACATTACATCTATAACCACTGAGGCTACACCACAGGACTTTGAAATAACAATAAGGCGGGACAGGAAACAAACCAGCCAGGAGCCCGCACGGCAGGGCTCTCCCGGTGCCGGGCACAGGGAGCGGGGCAGGGGAACGGGGACGGACCCGGCCCGGCCCCGGGGCTCGCGGAGCAGCCGCTGCGCGCGCCCCCGCCCCGCGCGCCCAATCGCGCTCGGGGCCCCGCCCCGGAGGCGCGCACGCGCCGGGCGCCGCCAATCCGAGGGCGCGCAGCCCCCGCGAGCTCACACCTCACCCCAGCGGCGGCCAATCGGAAGGAGCCGGGCGGGCTCCCGGTGCGCGTCAGCCCTCCCGTTGTTGCTGGTGGGGTGACGTCATCGCCGGGCGCCGGTGCGGGGCGTGAGGGGCCCGGGCCGGGCGGGGAGCGAGAGCGGGGCCGGGGCTGGACCGGGGCCGGGCGGGGAGCGGTGCCGGCCCTGCAGGGTTCTCGGTACCGAGCGCGGCCCTGCAGGGCTCGGGACGGCCCCTCCGCACTGCGGGCGGGCCGGTGCCGGACACCCCCGTTGCCGCTCCGCGGGGCCGGGCCCTCACGGCGCCGTTGCCGGGCGGGGTCACCCGCGGCGTGCGGGAGTGAGGAGCCGCAGCGCTGGTGGATGCCGGGAGCCCGGTTCCGCTGTCACACCGAGCACCGGCCCCGGGCTCTGCCTGCGGCCCCCGGGCGAGGCTGAAATCCCCTTCGCCGTCTGCCGCAGGCAGAGCCCTCCGCCCTCAGTCGCAGCCGGCCCCGCTGCCCCTGTGTTGCCGCGCAAACGAAACCGCAGGAAATCCGTGGCAGCCTCGGTTTCCGCGGCCAATGCCGCCCTCTTGTGAAACCGTGTATTTTCGCCTCCATCAGTCACCAGAAGCACAGGGATTTTAACCACTACAGAACAAGGTTCAGCCGGGCTGGGGCTTCCGCCTTCAGCTGGCGCTGAAAAACACAAAATGAAAGGAGTCTGCAGGTCAGAAAGCTCAGAAACATCGAAAGAAGGCTGAAACCAGCTCCAGGTGGAGGAGCCCTTGAGGCTGTGAGGAGCCTGGACTGGAATTGCAGTGGGATACCGGCAGTGCAGGACGGTGACAAGGACAGGTTCCACCCCGGTTCCTGGCTGGGGGGTGTGAATACCACTAAACAATCCTCAGCAGAATCCAATTGCCAAATTCCTTCAGGTAAATAATCCAACATATTCCACAAACAGGAGCAGCAAGTGAGATAAGAATTGTTTTGATAATTCCTTTCTCTGCTCTCTGTTCAGGGGGCATGTGAGTACCAGAGGGATGGGACCACCCAAGGCCCCTTCTTTGTGTTGAATTTGGCTTTATCCTGGTTTACATCGTGATGGAAGTTATCCTGTGGCAAAATGTTGCCCTTAGAACAAAGCAGCCAGGAAATACACTTCCACTTTGAGGCTCTCCAAAATTGTCATTCAGGGAAAATGACAGGATTTACTTAAAATAATGTGTTCTAAATATATTGATTTGCTTTAGCTCCCGAGCTTAGCTTTCATCTTTTCATGTTTTCCACAGCCATGCAGATTTTGCTTTCCCTGTTTTCAAACACAGGGAAAACAAACACACAAACGTAAAACCAGGTAAGCTGGAAAGAAAAAACAACCACAACTCCACAGCTGTGTTCCAGTGGTGCATCCTTTCCCCAGGGGTGACCCATGGCCCTCTCTGCAGCCCTGGCTCCCCTTTCCCTGGAGAAGGAAACACATCCCCCACATTTCCTCTTGCCAGGAGCCAGAACCAATGAGGCATTATCCAAAGGACAGAAATCCAGATAAAACTCAGTGTTGGCAGGTTTTTCCTATGGACACCTATTTCCATGGAAGTCCTTGAACTTCCTCAGGCCTGCCCTGGCTCTGGCCACGAGGAGCAGCAGTGATCAGGGCTGTACATCTGCTTCCCCAAGCACCCAGGATTTTCCTTTATTTGGTTTTTCAGTCCCTGCTGCTGCTCCTTCCCCATATGGACAACATTTGTGTGGTGTTTGCTCAGTCCCCAGCCCTGTTTACAGCTGCATCCTGCCACACACCAGTGTCACAAGAGGCCACATCCCGCTGTCCCCAGGCCTGGCACAGCCCAAGCACTCGAGCCCAGCTCCAGCCCAGCCCCTCTGGAGCAGGGAATGCTGCCCAGGAGCTGCTCCCATGGCAGGGCTCCAGCCCGAGGCAGAGCCAGCCCTGCAGTGGCCCCTGGCTGCTCTGGCTGTGCAGTCCTGCGGCTCCAGGACAGCTCTGTGTGTTTTGCTTCATGTCTCCAACACTTCCCTGCAGCACAAGGGCACCAGGAAGGTTTAACTCATCAAGTTCCAGCTGGCATTGGTAAGGAGACTCATCCCTCTAGCACTGGGCTCTCACAACCCTCAGAGCTCCTCCCAGCCCTGTGAGTCCTCTGCTACGAGATAAAAGTCAATACTGGTGCTCCCACCACCTGTCAGGAGGAGGAAAAGGAATTTCCAGTGAGCACTGGTAGCAGGAACAGTGCACTGCACAGAAAGGGGAGGGAAGCTGCAGAGGGAGCTGAGGAGAGCTGCCCTGAGTTTCAGCCACGCTCTGCCACAAGTCCTGGTCACACAGGGGAGCTGGGCAGAGAGCAGAGAGCCAACAATCACCCTTCCCCAAATCCTTCCAGATCAAGAGACTGAGGCACTGAGAGAACTCATGCTTTAATAGACACTGAAATCACAAAGAAGAAAAGGCCAAATGCCTTAGCAATTTCAATAAAAATATGAAAATCTTTTTACATGGTAAATCTCATAATATAAAAAGTTTAATGCTGTCTGGAAACAGAGTTTTAATTTACAAAGAAAGTCCATAGAGGCCAAACATGGCTACACTGCACGTAGGGAGAGTGCTGAAGGGCTGCTGCTGGGAAGCCTCTGCTGACCATCCTCTCTGGGTCACTGTCTCCAGTGCTCTTCTGCAGCTCAGGGAAGCAGTGTCCACACACACGTGCAGCCCTGCGGGGCAGCATGGCAATGCAAAGAACCCAAAACTGCTCAAACCCATTATCACCATCCAGCTGAAACTACCAATGCTTCCTAACAGATTCTCAGACACCTCTGTGCCCCTGGATCTGTTCTGCAACTTGGAAGAGATGTTCACAGAACGAGCTTGCCCTAATGAAAGAAAATATGGCCTAGAGTGATATGCATGGGTGTAGCACCCCCTCAAAGCTTTTTCCTTGCTTCAGTAAGGTATGATTAAACAGAAGGAAAACCAATATCAGGCCAGAGGTACAGGCTAACCAACAAAACCAAATTAAACTAGATTTTGATCACAGGGGTTGTTTACTGTTCCCACTTAGTTGGAGCTAAAGACAGTCAATAAAAAATCTGAAATCTCACACAGTAAAACGTACAGGGCAAAACCAAAACATTCTGTGGCCTTGGGGAACGGTTGCATGTGGCAGGTTTAATGTGGAAGTGGTTAATACCTAATTGTTATTGCTCACTGTATTACGCAGTGTTGTCACTTGTACCATGCACAAATACAACAACGACAAATGCATTAAACCCACAGAAGGAATTCTAACAGCAAATGGAGAACGCGTGATTTTCATTTCCTGAATTTCTCCACGTATTGGGCAAACCTGATAAAACTCTTTTTTTTTCCTCACAAAGGGGTTGTTTCTCATTCAGGAGGTGGAGGAGTGAGGGACAAGGTGTGCAGTGTCTCCCAGCCACGAGTAAGCATGCATTTCATGGCTCCTGGCAAGCCAATGGAAGTGACCTGTGCCAAGTCAACGGAGACCTATTTCCCAAAAGACTTTGTTCTAGTGACACTCACCTTCCATATTTATACAACATCAAATTCCCCAAATACTGAACTTTCTCTACATCTGAACCCTTCCCTGCTTCTAATGCTCCCCCCTCCTTAAAAACAACAACAGAAGAACCACTCCCCACACCCCCCACCCCGATTTAGCTCTGTCTGAAAGCTTTAAGCCAGCATGAAACCTGCTGGAGCACAGAAATGGGTTGTAACAAAATGGCAGCATAGAATTTCTACAGGTTAAAAGATCCTTTAGTTATGGAAGTAAACTACAACAAAGAGGCTTATTTCTGGCGTGTTATGCAGCACTACAGGGAGTATTTGCTGTTGCTATAAACAAAAAGCTGCCCACTTCCATCCTGGGTGTTCCTGGGATGTCGTTTCAAAAAATTTATGCTGGTTAGAAACAGAGCGGGTCACATGAAGTCTCTCAGCAGTCCTGTGACCACAGCAAGTGGCACGATCAACAGCATCTGTCCCCACAAGGGGCAGACACTGTGCTGACTCATTTTGGCCCACTATTCTAATTTTTCCTGCCAAATGACACGAAGGTGATGTTTAGCACCAAACCATCACAGGAAGATGTCATGTACAGACAAATAACTTGCATCATGATGAGTTGAACAGATTGACTCAACTGTTCTGCTACATTGTGTATGAGTAGGTAACTACTCCTTCTCTCTGCACTGAAAACTTTGGTGATCCCCCTCCCTTGTTAGCTAGCTGGCTGTAACAACCCAGCCCAGTATCCTTTGCCTTTAGTGCTTGTGTTCATTTCTTGCCACGATAAAACGGAAAACATTCTCCTGAAACCAGCAGACTCCAGAATATTCTCACAGCACGCATCTGATTATGCCTGTGAGTAAGCTGAGCCCAAGCATTCTCATGTTTCCATACAAGAACTGAATTCTCTGCCCTGCTATCATGCTTCTCCTCCAAGATGCCTAAGAAAATCACAAATTATCAGATGCACATTTACAAGAGCATCCAGCCATGCTAAGTACAATTCTCTGCATCAGCAATGTACCTCTGGTACGTCCACAGAGCTGCCTGCACTCTCCATTCAGCTGCAAGCCTGGAAGTTGACTTCAGATCCAGCTCAAACTCAGGGCCTAATGAATTCAGCCTCACAACACCTCTGTGAGGTAGGTAGGTAAGTATTACTATCCCCATTTCGATAGAAAGGGAAGACGAGGCACGGAGAGGTGAAGTGATTAGCCTTCAGTCACTGAGCCAGTTCTGGGAGTGCAGAATAGCCACCAAAACCTTGGTGATACAGTGCTCTGACCCCACAGCCTGCGAATCCTCGCGTGGATCTGAGCTGACGTGGCGGCGCCGCCGCCGCCCCGTGCCCACGGCTTCAGTGCATGTAAGCGATCCCTGGGATCCTGATCACATCACTGCATTCCACAGCCACCCAGAACCATCTCCAGCCTGCCCCCAAACCCCACCTAGCCTAGGGAAGCTGACTCTTTTATCGCCCTGGGGGTGCTCTTGGTCCCCTTTCCTCCACTTGTCAGAGGGCACTCAGGTTCTGCATGCAGCCCCTCCGCTTGCTGCCTCACCTTCTGCCTCCAGCTGCACCAACAGCTGCTCACACTGCCACATCTGCTCCAAATGAAACTTGTTTCCACACCTGCTCCAAAGGAAACCTGCCTCCACAGCAGGGAAAGGTTCCCAGACCTGCCTGTGCTGAGCCCTGGCAATGATTTAGCAGGATGGAGGAAGGTTTTTTTGGTCTGGTGATGTCTGAATCACACACACTGATGTCACATTCTTGCCTGCTGTGGAACTGCAAAATAATGTTCTGAGCTGCAGCATCTGCTATCCTTTTCTGTGCTCACTGAGCAGAGATGTAAGTACTGCCAAAACTTGCCAGGATAAAAGTTCACCTTCACAATGTGGTGTGCCAGAGAGACCAGAGCACTCAATAAACCCAGAACTTGTCTCTCTGACACACACTCACTACCACACACACAGGCTCACCTGCTTTATTAGGCCCCAAACATTTCCTTTGAGCAGACCAACCAGCAAAGTCTCATCTGAGGACTTTCCCTCCAAAAAAGTTACCTGAGATGCAGATTTTAGAACAGGGCACCTCTCTCCTCTTGTCTTTGTTTCACCAGTCTCTAAATGATGCAACAGAACGGCCAGATCCTGCTGCTATGGAGCTTTACTGACAGCAGTTTCTGGCTTGGCCAACCTGGCAGAGGTATCTAGAGGCATGTGGTCTCCTCCTCTGTCAGCCTTTGAAAGCAGTCGAGTAAATGGCTCATCTTTCTCCAGGCAGAGACTTGTACCTATGTTCTTTGTGGTACACAGCAATGTTCTGCCTCCTCTCCCTTTCCTCTCCAACCCCTGATATGTGTGATTTCTGTACAAAAAGCCAGCTGTAAAACTTCTGGATAAGAAAAACGAGGAGGTGGCTTCAAAGCCAGTGTTTAATGGGCAGACAACCAGATACTTTGCACCTGCTGCTGCAAATACTGAATACTACAAAGAACCTGTTATCAGGTGAGTCTGGCCAAGGTCCTGATAAGGGAAACAAAAACCCATGTGTGTGAGGCCATGTGCCCCCACAGTGACAGCAGGCCAGCCTGTCCCATCCCTGGGCACTGCCAGCTGAGGGCATGACCACGGCTGCTTAGCTACTGGTTCTGTTTTGGTAAAGGCAAGTGGGCAGAAGAAAATACTTCAACATGACTGTAAGTCATCAGCTGGTACTTGGGACATTTCAACATTTGGAGGAAGGGAAAAATCTTCCTGGTGACAAGAATTTATACCCATTCCCAGCTGGCAGCCTCAGGGGACGCACAGCTCCCAGAGTGTTGCCAGGTGAGGAATGAGCTGATGTCATGGAATTTGTGGTTTCAGGGCATCTGTGTCCATTTGGAGGGATCTTCTGTGGTGAAGCAGCAAGGTGTTGCCCAATAGACAGGTCCTTCAGTTCCAGCTTCTCTGCACTTTCTTCTTTGCTGTGCCGTGGTGATAAATTGAGCAAGCTGAGGACATCTTTCTTAGAAGTCATTGTTCCAGGAGCTCCTCGGAGAATCTTTATTGGCCCAGTGGAGTGGTGGGGAGTGCTTTGCCAGAACATCTTTAAGTTGTGAATTGCTTGCACTTTTTCATCGATGGCAGCCAATTTTAATTTGTCAATGTCTGGGGCATCAGCTGGGCTTGAGCGAGCAGAACCAGCTGAGGAATAAGAAAGAGCAGGAGATGGAGTGCTGCCACCAGGGGACTGATGCCCTGAGCTCGGAGAGATATTTCTGGGTGATTTAGAAATGTGAGCACTATAAGGAGAGCTGGGGTACTTGAGTTTAAAAGGAGGATGCTCAGTCAAGGACCCATGCGAGTCACAACCCGGAGATGGCTGCCCACTGTACTGACCTGTGCCTTCTCTGTTCGACATCTCCGACGTTGTGGGGCTGTTATAGCCAGAGCTCACCTTCTGAAGGGATGAACTCCTCGTTGGAGGCTTTGGTTTGATGGCAAGAGGTGAAGAAGACTGGTTCCTCTGGCTGGAGCTGAGCGGGCGGCTGAAGGCGCTGGTCTCCGAGGAGCGGAAGGCGGACACGCCGCCGGGGCTGGGAGCCCCATCCTCTGAGCTGTTGCTCTTGCTGATCTGGCTGCTGCTTCTCTGAAGACGTTCAACAGCAATGAGGTGACTCTGAGTTTCCTCCAGAATTTTTTGGGCCAGCTCTTGTGGATCAAGCTTTGGATTACTGTCCTCCTGGGATTTGACGGTGCTGTCAGTCTCAGTGCTAGACTGGTCAGATTCCCCAGTATCAGAACTTGCAAGTTTCCCAACTTTTTGGAAAGGTGAATTTGGGCTGGGGATAAGAGTCATTTTAACAGGAGAATTTGGAGTACTTATGCTCCCTTTGGAGTTGATGGATGCTTTAATGCCTCCATTCTGACTATTTTTGGGCTGTTTGTGATCAGGGGAAAATCTTGGTTTTATGTTTTCTTGGTAACTGGCTAAAGGCTCGTTGCTGATTATAGAGAAACCTTCATACTCTTCCTCATCTTTGCTGGCTGCAGTGGCTTGTGGTGACAGCTGGCTCTGAGCTGCAGACCTGTGTGGATAGATATTCTTGGGCCTCTCATAATCCTGCCGCCCTCTGTGTCCTGCCCCATCCAGCGTGTTCTCTGGCTTGGAAACAAAGCTCATGGAAGAAGCAATGGAGCTCAGGCTGTACACAGAAATGGCATCTGAGGCAAGGCTGTCTGGACAGGTAGGAGAGAATGGAGGGTTTTGATACTGGGGTACAGGGTTGGAAACAGACTGAGCAGAAGCCAGTGACTCCAGTGATGAGGAACTGTCCAGGCTAAGGCGCTTGGGCAGCTCTGTAGAATCTGAAAAAAGAAAAGACAACAGTATGTACAAACATGACCCTAGATACACCATAAAATCAAATAACACCGGGTAATATTCTATCAGAATTAAGAGAAAATGCTACAAAACATGCCCTCAGGCTCTGTGCTACCAGCTACTACTTAGGTAAAGAAAAAGAAGTGCACAACCCAGACAAGAACCTCTGTCCAAGTCTCCTAGATGGAAGTACATTATCATTTTATATCTCAACACAAAGAATGAATTATTTGTCCTCCAGTTGCTGGACTCTATCTCCAGCTTCTTCTCAGACAAGTCTTTCCCATACAAAAAGAACATTTACTCCAGTCTCTGTATCACATTTGGTCTGCGTGACATGTGTGTGACCTCTGCAATGATGCAAGTGTGAGATTTCAGCAAAAGCCATTCTGATCAAATCATCAGATGACACAAGAGCAAAAACACACTGAGCAGCTTTACCAAAAAGTGCCAGCAAGGATTGTAGAGCAAAGTGCATGGTCCTCCTGGTAGCTTGTTTCCCAGTTTTCAGAATGACCTCCTCTTGGCCAACTTCACAAAGGTCAAAACCTGTAGTGGGACATGGAACAGAAAATTACAGCTCACAGAAAGACCCTTTGTCTCAAATAAGAGTAACCTCATTTATAACACAGAACAGAGAGGTATGACAGCCTGCAGCACCCTCGAAAGGATTACTTCACCTCTCACAGTTTGTTGTCTGTTATTTTTTACTGTTTAGCACACCTTCTCCAGGTGTTGGGAGCTTTGTGGCACTGGACTGGGAGCACACACACTCATTAACAAGTCACTCCTGTCAACACTTCTGTAGCTGAAAATTACTTGGAGTTGTCAGGAAATTATATACCAAACACATCTCAGGGGACAATGTCCTACATGCCAAACAATTTACTATTAATTCCAGGTTTCCTCACAGAAATAGAACTGAAGAGCACAGACCTTGGATTTTGGCAAATGCAGGCTGGGCTGTAGGGGGCATGTGAAGCTGTGAGTCTTATCAGTGTTTCAATCCCCCATATGAGACACCAGCAATGGGTTTAGAGAGACTACAGAAAGAAGTGTTTTCCTACCTAGAGCTGCCAGAAACTCGTGACAGCCAGGCAGCCTCCAGAGCTGGACACTGATGGAGACCTGGATTGGTGCAGAGGGGAAATCTTGCTCCTTTTCGCCTGCTTGAAGTTGAACCAGGACTTGATGCAGCTGAAGACAGCAAGACAGACATTAGCCATTGCTCACAAGTCACATCACTGCTTCTCTTACAGCCACAGATAAAGCAATGCCCTCTGCACACCCTCTCCCTGGACACCCAGTTCAGCTGCTGCTCCTGAACAGAGCAGTGAGATGGGAAGGTCTGGGAAGAAGGACAGTTCAGGGACAGCAACACCAGACAGACTGGAACAGCAGCAAAGGCAGGGACAGAGCAGGGGTGAGGGCTGGGGGGTGGCCAGTGGAAACTGAGCAAGAAGGAAGCACAGCAGGAACATCTGTGAAGGGAAAGAAAAGGAAAGAGATACTCTGGGGCTGCTCACAGAAATATACTAAAGCCCATTCCATGACTGAGCCATACTCCTTATGCAAATCCTAAGAAACTCATTAACTGGGCAGAACAAGTCATATGAAACCATAGAAGACTTTCCTAACATCTCCATGGCCTCCAGGAAAGAAATTTCTCAACTGTGCTCAAGGGACAGGAGTAGCAAGCTAGAGAGAAAATGTGTTTATGAAGATCTGACACAAATTAAGATGCCAGGATCCCGTGTAATTCACCAACACAGCCAGGGCAGCAAGGATGGAAAGCCATTAATCAGGGACCAGCTAACCTCAGGACCACCCATCTCTCACAACCCACAAAAGCTTACACAGGCCTTTTTCCACAGTAGCTGTGTGGAGCAAACCCCAGGCCTGAGGGTGGGTGCAGACACGGAGCAGCACAGGGCACGGGTGTGCAGTGACCCCTGCACTGCCCCCTGCACAGCAGTGTCCCCCCGTGCACATCATACTCACCATTGCCACCACATTTTTAACAGCCTTCGGGCAGCAGGCAACAAGAAAGGAAAAGAGGAGAAAAGAACATGGGTTACTCTGTGCTACAAGGTGCCTGTGCTGAGGAACCTTGCAGGGACACATCCATGAGCCAGCTCCCTGACTGCCAAGATGCTCTGTCCAGAGAAAGAAGGGAGCAATGGGAACGGCCTGAGCTGGGAACAGGCAGCTGGAATCTGGGAGTGCCCAGCTC